TTTTTTTTTTTTTTTTTTCGTTTACGAACTAAAAGGATTTGGAAGCTGAGGTCGACCACATTGAGGGAAGCACGCGCTCTTATGAGCTATGACCAAAATCGGACCTCATTATTTCGCAAACTTCAAACGATCACTGAAAATGGCGCTGGACCCTTCCCCGTACCCCGCCACCCCCACAAACCACCGCTGGGGACTAAACCCCCTCCACCACCCACCCGATTACGATGTCGTATCCGCCAACAAAGCCATAACATCCTGCTGGCGAGCCGGCGACCTCGATGGCGCCCGCCACCTGTTCGACTCCATGCCCGTCCGCACCGCCGCCTCCTGGAACACCATCATCACCGGATACTCCAAATCCGACATGCTCCAACAAGCCCTGACCCTCTTCTCCACCATGCTTCGTTCGAACGTCAGCCCCAACGAGACCACTTTTTCGCTTTCTCTGAGCGTCTGCGGGCGCGTGGGCTCCCTATCTGGCGGGAGACAGGTCCACGGCCTAGTTGTAAAATCCGGACACGTGAAATTCAAGCACGTGGGAAGCTCACTGCTGCATGCGTACGCGAGTTGTTCGCGAATTTGGGACGCGCGTGTGGTGTTTGATGAATTAATTGAGGATAACGAGCTGTTGTGGAGTCCAATGCTGGCGGGTTTTGTGGATTGTGGTCTAATGGGTCAGGCATGTAACGTGTTTGATAAAATGCCTAAACGTGGCGTGGTGGAGTGGACCACGTTAATTTCGGGCTATGCGAAGAGCGACAATGGGTTCGAGAAAGCGTTGGAGCTTTTCAACATGATGAGGGAGAGCATGATCCACGACGGCCCGAATGAGTTCACTTTGGATTGTTTGGTCAGGGGTTGTTCGGAGTCAGGTGACTTGTCGACCGGGAGAGCTCTTCACGGGCTTGTGGTCAAGTCTGGGCTTGAGCGCGAGCACTCTGTTTGTGGTGCCTTGGTTTGTTTGTACAGTAGGTATGAGTCCATGGATGAAGCCCAAACAGTTTGCAACAGCGTGTCGGGCCTGGCCTTGGGCAACATGAATGAGTTGATTGGGGGTTTTGTGAATTTAGGAAAGATTGAGAAAGCCGAGTCGATTTTTTTTGGCATGCCCAAGAAAAATCCCGTTACCTACAATATAATGATCAAAGGGTATGCATCGTGCAGCAGGTTTGAGGACGCAGAAAGGTTGTTCATGCAAATGCCCGTCAAGACCCTGAGTTCCCTAAATACTATGATCATGGCATATGCCAAGAATGGGGAACTCAAGAAGGCCGTGTACCTTTTTGATAAGGCAAAAAACGAGAAGAGCCCAATCACTTGGAACTCAATAATTACGGGACACATTCTAAACGATGGCCACGAGGATGCTTTCAGACTGTATCTTGCCATGTGTAGGTCATCCATACCTCGGACGAGATCGACCTTTTCAATTTTATTCCATTCTTGCGCTTGCACGGGGTCCCTACAACAGGGCCGGCTACTGCACGCCCATCTATCAAAAACCCCATTTTCCTCAAACGTCTTCGTGGGCACGTCCCTCATCGACATGTACTCTAAATGCGGGAGCATGAGTGACGCACACACCGCATTCACGTCCATATCGTCCCCCAACGTGGCGGCCTGGACGGCCCTCATTAACGGGCTCGCACACCACAGGCCCAGCCCGGAAGTCCTCTTGCTCTTCAGACTCATGATGGAGAGTGGGGTGGCCCCGAATGCAGCGACATTCGTAGCCGTGCTGTCTGCGTGTGCGCGTTCGGGCTCGGTGGGCCCAGGGCTGAGGCTGTTCCGCTCGATGACAGAGGATCACGGGATCAAGCCTGCTCTGGAGCACCTGACGTGCGTGGTGGATCTTCTGGGGCGGGCAGGGCTCCTGCACGAAGCAGAGGAGCTTGTTGAGAGCACGGAAATCAAGGCGGATGGGTATCTTCTCATCTCGTTGCTGCATGCCAGCTGGCACTGGATGGACATGGGGCTGGCTGAGCGGGTGGAGAGAAGGATGGTCGAAATGGGTCTCAGTCAAAGTGCGTCTGCATATGTTATCGTGTCGAATATGTACTCGGGCTTGGGGAAATGGGAGAAGAAGAAGGCAGTGAGGGATACATTGAGAGATTTGGGTGGGAAGAAGGATCCTGGGTGGAGTTGGGTGGATGTGAACAATAGGACTCATGTGTTTTCTGTGGACTGTAGAGAAAATCCGCAGTCTGATGTGATCTATGCAAATTTGGAGTCCCTCAGTGTGAATGGATATTATAGTAATGATTTTGATTCTTTTTCTCTTTTCAGTTAACAGAAGTATCCATATGTGTGGGATTAACCTTTCTGCGTATGCAAACACCCTTTCACTGAAATTCTTTTTTCATACCTAACCCATCCTCTCATAGTGTTTCGAGGACTTGAGAAATTGAGGGTAAATTGCAGAGATTATCACAAAAAAATTATGTCAACTTCTCGTTATTTAACTGCCCATCCAACTTAGTTTTTTTGACATGAACCGGCTAGGTGGGTCAACTAGGAGGACCGAACCAGTCCGGATGAGTCTTTCGAATCGGTTAAGAAAGGACCCGGCGAAAACCATCCAAAACCCTGCGCACATTGTCCACCGGGGAATTGACCCGGCCGGGTCGACCCGGTATAACCTGACCATGATATTTTTTTGTGACATTTTACTTTATAAATAAAACATATTTATATATATTTATGTGATGAATATTTATGTTAGATACAATATTCTTAAAATTTTGAGGTATAAATTTTTTGTATAAATTTATTATTTTCTGTGTATATTTATAAGAAAAAAATCAGTACATATATAATATAAAAAATTTAAAATTAGTTTTTTTGGTTCAACAATTGACCAGATTACCTGACTATTGAAATGGTGACCCATATCTCTAGCCCAGGTCGATATCAACGCAACACAGTTGTAAGGAAAAATGGTATTATACTGATTTTACGGTTCTATTTTTTGTTAGTGTAAGACATAATAAAATCTTAAAATAATTTAAGGTGGAATGGAAAATTAATTATAAAGTTGAAAATGTGAGTAAATTTGAGTTTTATGCACTCAAATTAAGTTTAAAGTAACTATAAAATTATTGGATTCACAAATGTTCTGCCTTTGACGAATGTTTGGAAAACCCAAACGAGCCATATCATGCAGCAAACATGCTACAATTTTAGAAGGGTTCGATTCTGAATACGAAGGACAACGTACGGGCTCTCGGCGCATATGCGCACAGTAGGCTTGTCGCTGGAGCGACGAGTCAAACAACCCAACAATTGGGCGCGAAGACTCTTTGCAGGCGCGACATGCATGCTTCCTGGACGCACATTCTCGTGTCAAAACTGTTCCAACTCATTTTCGATGTCTTTTGGTGCCACGAACTTCCTGAAGATGTCCAAGAACATCTATAAGACCCTATGACTTGAAATTCATAACATATTAATTGACATTCTAACATAACATATGAAATTGAAATAAAGAATAAGATATTTCATGTTCATCTTGTATTCATTATTATTTCTTAATTTCGTGAGAGTTCAAAACTGAAACAAGTTCGACGAAATCTTGTGCATTTGAAGTCCCAATATAAACAAGATAAAATTGTTGTATCTTGGTGATATTTATCGAAATTTGAGGGCATTAACATGTGGCAATTTCCCCTTACGTAATGCGTGTTTCACGTGCATAGACTTAGATTGTTTATTTGAATTCTTTGTCCAAATTTGTTAGAGGTTCGTGTTCGTGGTTGTTTTCGAGAAAGATAACAATACAAAACAAGGGTAACAACTGAATTGCTAATAATGTTTCGTACAAAATACCAAAAGGAATGTCATTAACACACGAATACAATTAATCAATCAATGACTACATTAATTGGTACAGAAACTGTGTCAACACTTAAAAATACTAAGAAAAATTAATCCCTCCAGAGTGTTTGATGGCTTTAGCATAATAATGTCTGGTGAATTTGGTGAGCCAATTCCTCTGCACTAAGCTGGCATTCAATTCCAATCTACCAAACAATTGGCCATTAAATAACAAACACATTCCGATTAATTATATATACCAAGGATTTCAAATCTGTAATAACTAATAAGTCAGAAAACACGCTGTGGTAGTTGGAATTTAAAACATTAAATTTAAGACATGCAACATAAGACAAAAACATACGTCATTGTTTTCTGCAAGTGTTTATTAAAATATTACTTCGTAATCATCTCTCTATATATTAATTCAAAAACGAGTTGAGCCTAAGTGACAGCTTCTCACGCTTCGGATGCTGACATGACGAAAATCTATGCTTCATGATATTTTTTTTATATTATTTTTGCTCTCGAGTTAAGTTTGGTATTAGACATCAATAACTTTAATCATATATTTTTTAACTCAACACTCATGTTGTACATAAGTATTGTACTAGTTGATTAATTAATTATCAATGTAGTCATTGACTAATTAATTAGTATTCGAGAACGAAACCAAAATTTATGTATTATATGTACGTATATGATATTTAAAAATTTAAATTAGGTAAATGTGTATTACATTTTAAAATTTTGACTATATGTAAATATATAATATAAATAAAAATAATTTAACTTCCATGTAATTCAGTCTTTTTATTGTTAACTCTAATACAAAATAGGAATATTAGCTATAAAATAATTTATTATTGAATATTCAAAATATTTAAAATCCTGTAAAGATGTTACATAATAAGAAATTAATAGTGATAAGGTTTTACTTGTGTAGCTGTCATTTGAATGCTGGTCATAAAAATTATTGTATTAAATAAAGTCCTATTTATATTAATTACTGGCTGAATAAAATTTATCGAAGCTTGCCAACAATTATATACTAGTACGTACCCCGTGCGATGCACGAGACAAAAATATTAAATGAGTTATTTGCACATGCTTTGTCCGTTTATGTATATAAAGCAATAGGATTATCATCTATTTTTCATCTCTTTTAATCAACTTTAAGTATAATAAACAATAAGGTTATAATATAGTTTGCACCTTTTTTTAATCAACGTTATTTTTTTAGTCAAAATATTAAAATAATGAATATATTATTTCACTAACACATTTATCCTAATTTAAATTTGATTTTAGTATATATATTTATTCCTTGATATAAGAGATAAAAATAATTTTACTTATTCTTGTTCACCATATAATACTTAATTATTATTTTCTTATACACTTTATATAATATAATGTCATTATTATTTATAAAGTTATAGAAATTGTACGTCTTCTTTTTATTTTTATTTTATGTAATGAAAAATATTTAATGCACATTGGTATTATTTATTTATGTAATCAATTTAAAATATGTAAATAAATTTAATATTAAATAGTGTATAAATATTTTACAAAATATACACTTGTTTTTTTAGAATTTAATTTTGTATACTAATAAACACATTTGATTTAGAAGATGCCAAAAACTCTATCCCCTCTATGAACAAGATTTTTCTAATTCGCATTATAAGGATTTATGGTTTATTTAGCATACTCAGGAATGAAAATATATTTTACAATAATTTAGTTATAAAAATAAAGCAAAATAAATAAATGAAAAAATATAATCATGGGTGCCAATAATATACAAATAAATTCTAAACAATAGTTAATATGTTTCGATTTTAATTTTTTACCATTAGTAAAACTATTTATTGTATCTGGTCATTATCTCTTAAATGGTAAATTATATTAATTTGAAGAACGATTTATTTTTTATATTTAACAAAATAAAGCTTAAGAAACAAACATATTGACAAAGATTAATTCACCAACTTGATTTTGTCTGATTACTTGGAAAAAGAATTCTAACTAACCTGTTACGATTTTCTATAAATATTTTTGGATAAAAAGTAAATATCTGTGAAAAAAACTAATATTATGGTTAGAACTTAAAAAATGGTGTAATATTATCTTGACCATAATATTATCAACATGGATTACATAAATCAATCTTGTAATTTATTATAATGAATATCAATGAAAGTATTACAAATATTAAGAAAATAATATTTATCTTGACCAAAATATTATCAACATGAATCACAAAAATTAATCTTGTAATTTATTATAATGAATATCAATGAAAATACTGCAGATATTAATAAATTTATTTAAGTAATTATTTGATCATATGTTATTTGATCTTATTTGAAAACGTGTAAATAGAATCAATTAATGCATATATTTAAAAAATTCCAAAAATAGTATTCATTAAATGTTTACTAAATTTTTGCTACTATTTTTAGTGAATGGTATATTTTTTTATATATATACATTAAAAACTAATCAAATCAAGTTTTTTTTTCTTTTTTTTTTTAAAAAAAAAAAACATTAACTCAATTTCATGTAATGAATATTTTTCACGACATATTTTTCTCCCAATTTCATGTAATGAATATTTTTTGGTCCATTTATTTAGAACAACCTTTTTCGGTACTGTACGTTATTTAGAAAGAAGCATATATAGGCTCTACGGTCTGGTGAACGTGGCAAACGTGCTAAATTATGGCCGCAATGCAATGAACACAACACAACACATAAATAGCGACCAATATGTTGGTACTAATATTAGTGAAATTATGATGGCAGTCTAGTACAATAATATAGAACAATATTGGTTGGGGGCACAAATACGTACAAATGATAGGGAAATGCTATGGTCCCGTTACGGTACCATCTTGTTGGGTGTTTTAAGTTTTAACCGTTGGATCATCTATTTTATACTAACTACATGTGTATCCAACGGTTAAAACACCTAACAGGATGGTGCCGTAACGGGACCGTAGCATTTCCCCAAATTATAAGATTGATGGAACTCTGTTTAAGGTTTTTATTTATTTTTATTTTTAATTTTTATTTTATATATATTTTGTTTATTATTAATTTTTATTTCGTTTGTTTACCTTGATAGTGAATGTATTGAGCAGCCTATCATCAACCGTGGTGATGTTGACATGCAGGATTTGGAGGTCAAGCTCCTCCAGCACCTCCACGATCCTCACGGCCCGATTAGGCACACGGGCTGACACCGTTTTCAGCATCAGATTCGGGCCCGAAAACTTGACCTCAACCTCGGCCGTGGCTGATTTCGAGCTTGCCACAAGCTTGTTAACCGCGTCGTTTATGGATGACGTGGAAGAGTTACACGGAGATGGGTCGACCGGGCTGAGCAGAGATGATGGCGATGAGTTGAGGAAGCCCGGGGGCTGGTGCTTATAGGTCTTGTATGGGCTGCCGGGCTGTGGGGTCCTCGGGCTCAACGGTGGCTTCCTCGGGCTCGAGATGGGCCTCGGGCTCAAGATGTCGGAGTAGGATTTTCGTTGTCTTTTGGCTTCAAGGGTTTGCATTAGCTGTTGGAGTTCGTTGATGTAGTCAACAACTCCACCAATGATTGATGCTTGATCACCCTAACCAACCAAAAATACTACTTGTAACTATTATTATTATTATTATTATTATTATTACTATTATTATTATTATTATTAAAAAATTGACGTAATTTGTTAAGTGGCTAATAATAAAGAAAGGAAACTTACTCTTTTGACATAAAAACAAGGCATCAAAGAGCGAAGTACAGCCAAATTGTCGTTCATTTGCTTCCTCCGACTCCTCTCCACCGTAATATGAGACATTCTGTTCTGCCCTGATTCCTCCGCCGCCGGAAAATCGTCACCTCCCGCAACCTTCGGCCTCTTGCGGCTGCTGGCCGAACCTCCGTCAACCTCCCAACATGATTTCTGAAACGCAAAGCTCACCATTTCTTCTTTAGACCCACTTTCTGAATAATTTTCAACAGCCTCGTTCATCATATTATTATTATTATTATTATTATTATTATTATTATTATTATTATTATTATTAATTTTGTTAGTATTGTTATTATAACCAGAGTTATTACTAGCACTTTCCCAAGCTTCAAGAACACTGAAAATATCATCCTCGAAAAAATCAGAAAGATTTTCGCTTTCCATCGAAAAAATATAATGCAATAAAAAAAACACGACCAAGATATTATGTCGAATAATTTAAAAGTGGGAAAAAGATAAAATGAAGAGAAGTTGTATGTTTGCAGCTATATATGGAATAGTTAGGGAAGTAGGAGACCAATATATTATGGATGTGAATTTGGAGACTATTATTTTTGGAAAGGGAACAAAGCAATCACCATCCAAGAACCTTTTTTTTTTTTTGAGATTTTGGGGTGTGGCCTCTTTTTGGTTTGAATTTATGTATAGAGAGAAAGTGCTTTATCTAGCTCAACAATGTAGAATGCTGGGAATTAAGTGTGTTACAAGAACATAAATATGAATTAAATATGGAAATGTGAGGCATTGAATGGAGTGAAAAAAAGGGTAAGGCCGTTGAAAGAAAGTGTGGAGCCGTTGGATTCGTCAAGTAATATTCTTGCATTCGTATCAAGCCGGGATAGTGACTAGGACTGAGCTCTAGCTAGATTATCGGGTCTTGTTTCAACCGTGGAGTTATTGTTTAATATTTCAATTCAAAATTTAACCAAAATTGTATAATTATTTCCAAATTGATTTGGCCATCTATCAATTCAACAAGTACTATGATATGCCTTTGTCAAGATTATTGTGCTGGAATTGATTCATTCTGATTTGTGTGATCTTATTTCGGTCCAAATTACAGGAGGTTTGGATTGTGGAATTATGTCAATCCAGACTACAAGAGGTTTCGAGTATTTTATCACTTTCACTGATGGTTACTTGAGATTTGGGTCTAATGCACTGCATGTCCGAATGCTTTGACAAATTTAAGGAGTAGCGTACAATTGTGGAGAAACTTCATGGTAAGAGTATCAAGTCACTTTAGTCTGATCGAGGTGACAAATACCTCTTAGGAGAGTTCAGGATATATTAATCAGAAGCTGAGATATGTGATTGAATCTCAACTGACTGCACCTGGCACGCCCCAGCAAAACGGGGTTATAGAGCGAATGAGTAGGACTCTTATGGAGATGGTAAGGTCGATGATGAGTTTTTCAGAGTTACCGAACTTGTTTTTGGGGAATGGCGCTATGTACAACAACGTATATCCTGAACCTAGTTTCATCGAAGTCATTTAAGAGTACTCCATATAAATTGTGGAAATGGCGTAAGCCCAGTTTCTTACATATTCGAATTAGGGCTGAGCATGGGACTCGGCGAATTGCGGACCGTTCTGAAAACCGAACCGAAATCACTCCGAACCAAAAAATAACCGTTGACCATTTGACTTTCTCCGAACCAAAAAATAAATTGGTATGGTTCTGGAGATTTTACAAATATCTGTACCGAGAACCGAACAACGTCCCATACCGCAACGAACCGAAGAACCGACATTAAGAACCGAATTATAACGTTAGATGTGTTATTAATATATTTTATGTCACCTTTGATCCTATATAATATAGTAATAATAACTATTAACCTTCACTTAACTTTCATGCTTAGTAATACTTGATCTACAACTGAATTTTTTTATTATAAAATAATTAATTAGAATAATATGAAAGGTTAAAGAATATTTTTTTAGAAAAAAATATTATAGTTTGTTTGAATTTTAAATTTTCAGTATTAGTTGCACAAATTTAGTCTTAACTAAAATTTAGAGTTACTTCTAAAGTTGATTTCAAAATAAAATTTTTAATATGAGGAAGCATTGATGAATGTTGGTTTTATTAAAGCATATAAAAATTATATAACTAAAATTTATAGTTACTTTTAAAATTGATTTCAATAAAAAATCTTCAATGTGATGGATTATTGATGAATGTTGTTTTTTTTAAAGCATATAGAAATTAAAATATAACTAGGTAGTCATTCAAAAAAAATCTAAAAAAAAAAAGAAATATTCGAAGATCCGAACCAAACCATATCGAACCGTACTGTCCCAATAGTTCCGAAAACCGAGCCGAACCGAACCGAAAAAATAAAAATCTCCGAACCTAATCAAACCGACTTTTTGGTACGGTTCCAGAGATTTATCAATCTCTGAACCGTACCGACCTACGCTCACCCCTAATTGGAATATGGGGTAGCTCAACGCATGCTCTGGTGCAGGAGGGTGGAAAATTAAAAATGGGTTCGGAAGTAAGGCTGTTTGTTGGCTATCCCAAGGAAACGAAAGGTGAATTATTTTATAGTCACGAAGATCAGAAGGTGATCGTTAGCACGAATGCTAGACTCTTGAAATAAGACTATATTATGAACCACTAGCCCGCGAGTAGACTTGTAAAGGAGTTGAAGAGTGAAGTCGATAGTCTCGTATCAAGTGCGCAAGCAGATACACCATATAATATTGCAACACGACACACTAAGCGTGTACCAGTGCAAATAATACCTCGTCATAGTGGGAGGATTGTTAGACAACCCGACATGTTTATGTTCCTCGGAGAGTCATCAGACTCAGTCTCGAGTGAACTAAAATCGAACCCTTGGACGTGTGATGAGGCACTGAAGAACAGTGATGCAGTATCATGACAAGGTGCGATGAAAGCTGAGATGGAGTCAACGGACTCCAATAAGGTGGGATCTTATAGAACCTGTTAGAGTAGGATACCCGGCGTTCCAATCGGATTGGACGTATTCTACTTGTAAATACTATCTATTGGAATTATATTGTAAATAAGGCATTACTTTATCTTAAGAGTAAGTTTTTATCCTATAATCGCACTTAAGATAAAATCCCTAAATCACTTATGGTTATAAGGTATGGTTGCGCATAGAGATGGTGATCATGGAACATACCTTGAAAGCTGTGATTTTAAATAAAGTTCCAAGTCGAAGGATGTTTTGAAATGGGATATCGAATAATCCATAAAAGACTTGCACATAGTATGTATGCTTGTTGGACAAGAATGTTGCATTCCATCAACATTAGCGTGCGACGCAAATACATATATGTGGGTGCTTGTTAGAGAACAAGTACACTGAAGATGACCGTATGAAAATATTTAATGAAAGATTTGTCTTGTCGAATAAGTATTTTCATGTTACAATAGTACATGACTAATCCTAAGACTTGAGGCACAATGGTAACTTTGTGCATATTACATTCTACTTTGATTTATCCTTTTGGTTGCTAGCACAATCGTATAAAGGGATATTTTGGGTATTATGTTAATATGTTTGGCCAAGGCAGGATGAATAGAGATTCATACACGGATTGAGATTCATACACGGATTACTAAATATGAAATAGAATCATAGTTATTAAATCAATTTGAGTTTGGACTAAAATCATACCCAAGATTTAATCGAGAAATTGGATGTCGAAAGGATTCTACATGTATGTACTTGTAATCGAAATAGGTTTACTCGCTATTCACTTAATACTAGATTCATGCTACTTGCTAGGTGTTCCCATGATATGTGGGTTCTTGAATTAAAGGGGTTAATTCAAGAATAAGAGTTAATAAGATTAACTCAAATTACAAAGAGTTGTAAACCCACTACTAGTATTAATTGTGAACCTAAAAGGTCACACCAATGTTTGTATAGAGATAAATATTAGTATTTCTAAAGAGTTAGAATTAATTGACAAAATCTAATTTTGATTAGATGTCAATTAAAGAAATATATTAAATTAATCAATTAGATTGATTAATATTAATTTAGTGACTAATGTAATTACTAAATTAATAGTTTGATTTTAAAATTGGATTTTAAAATTCAAATTCATATAATAATATGATTATTATATGAAAGGAGAATATTAAATATAATATATATGTTTACAAATGATTTTAAAAGAGTTTAAAATTATTTGTTTATTATTATTATTGATTTTTGATGTTGATTAAAAATTAAATAATAAAATGATAATAATATAATAATGACAAGATGGAGTCTTGCAATTATTATATTGTTGTATTAACTTGTAGAAATGAGAATTTTTTTTTTTTTTTAATTTTGCTTGTCAAAATTATCAAAGACTTTTGTAACATTTCTTGTAAAAGTTATACAAGTCATATATATTTTATTGCTAAAAAGTTTAGTATAAATATGGGCATGGTTGATGTTCATTTTTGCAAGAATTTGTGTTAAGATTTTCACTTATAATTTGAGAGATAAAGAGTTAGTATTTCATTTTTGTAAACAAGAATTGTTCTTGTAATATTCTCCTATTTATATATTTCTATACTAAGTTATAAATCGAGTGAGTTCCTACTAGCGAAGGAGTCATCTCGTAGTCGGAAGCAAACGGTGGATACGTTTAGAGGGAAGACAAGTGGATTCCTAAAAGCGAGCAAATCGAAGTGTTCGTTATTAATCCGGGAACCAATTTCCTCAACCACCATCAAGAAGAAGGAGTTAGAGTTATAAGGTAATATTTGATATTACTTGTAATTTCTAATAATACTTGTAACAAATCAAAATTTGTATTATTACATGTTTTTAAAGATGACGATTTGTAAATTCGCCATATGTATATACGGGTTAAGTATTTAAGTGTTAAATACTTGTTTTGAAAAATTTTAAATTCCGCTGCGTATAGCCCGTACGGTACAGGCGAACACAACAATGGTATCAGAGCCACGGTTATCATCTTTAAAAATAGATTTTGATTTGTTTAAGTTTATATGATAATTAAATGTTTATATGATAAACATATTAATTATCAAAATAAATAAAAAATTCGATTTTTTAGCGACACGGGTCGTGTGACTAAGTCACACTGGTCGTCTGGACTCACACGAGCCGTGTCCATGAGCCACACGGGTCGTGTGAGTATAAAGAAAAATTTGTTTTTGGTT